AAATACAAATACTAATCTATTTTCTATAACAGTTTACTTTCCTGGGTTCATTTTGATCAAGGCCAAATAACGCTGCCTCCACGAAGCTTTTACAACTCAATTTGGGATGGTAAATTGCATGGTTCAGTGTGGCTTGCTTCCAAGAGTTATTTTCTTATATTGCAGAAGTGGTATACTTAAGTAAGGTCAGACATGGAAAAGCATGTAAGAGAGGCCAAACTTCCCACACGAGTGTTCCTCCATATTAGTTATCAGTACCTTTATTAAAGAATCGGTCTGGGGGGGATGTTTGTCTTGTTTTTTAAAGGAGTAAACTTATGGCAGTCTAACAGTCAGCCTGGAATGAAATTCAGGCTGAGCTAGAATTTCTTTTGGAATAGTTATAAATAATTCATTGTGCTGCAAACACAACCGTCACTTTTGTGTTTTCTCATGATACATGACACACACTTTTATTATTTTCAACTGGTGCCTGTCAAGGAATGAAATCATACTTGTGTTTCCTTCATTCTCCCGAGTCCTACATACCACTGAACACTCCCCTGAAGGTTCTCCTTGACTTGGTACTCTTTAGATTACAAAGCTTGTGGGGAAAATCACAGATATTTCAACCCTGGTGCAAGTGTGGAATATTCACCTTGCATTCAGTAATGCTCTTAAGAAAAACATTATCTTCATTTCTTTCTTAATTTGGCCAAAGGAATTTGACAGGGAAGCAGACTTTTTCTGGATGAGCCCACATATTAGCTAGCATCAGGATGGCTAATGTCTTGGTGAAACTAGACTGAGAAAGCCAGCGATTATCTCATTGTAAGGCTAAGACTGGAAACAGCTACCAACCCACCCTTCCCTACACACAGCATTATAACCCAGCAGATGGTCTTTCCAACCCATTGCCCCTGACCTTTCTAGGGTACAGGGTGATGACCAGGTGGGCCTTCAAATGTTGGATTGCCACTTCCATTTTCTCACCCTTGACTATGCTGGTTAGGTTGATGAGAGTGCCAGTCTGGACCACATGCTTGGGTTGATGGGAGTGGTGGTCTGGACCACAGCATGTGCAGAACCACACACTTCTCACCCTGCTGTGTTATACGAGCTGTGGCATGTTCCTCACTTTTTAGGACAAAGCCTTGATGACAGTTTCACTGATGGCAACAACCCAGAACATGCTGCTTTGACTTGAGATACAATGGACGTGCCCAGACTCCTGAAGGTTACGTATATAGTTCATTTTGATTCATTTGCAGAAATCTGTGGGGCTCAGATTTTATGCTTGGATTTGTCATAAATACTTGCTTTACCATTCAAATGGTCTAGGGAATGAAGCTGTCAATGAGGCAGACACAGGTAGCTCTGGGATTAATGAGAAGAACCTTCTTAGCAGCTTGGGGTTTGGAAAGAAGTAGCAATATTACAACAGCTTTGAATATGGAGGGTGATTAAGAAAAGTATTATTTACTTGGGAATAAGCATCTCTTTGCCTAAGGGTGGTATATGGGACATTACAAGAGCCAGCGTGGTGTAGCGGTTAAAGAGTTGGACTGGGACTTGGGAAATCAGGGTTCTAGTCCTTACTTAGCTATGAAGCTCACTGGGTTACTTTGGGCCGAGTACTGACTCTTACCTTAGCCTACTTCGCTACTCCTGCTTTATGGTTGTGAGCAATAAAATGGAGAGGAGGAGGATCGTGTGAGGTGCTTTGGGTTCATTACAAGAAGAGCAAAGGGGAGTTGTGGTTGCAATAAATAAATAAAGGATATGTTTAGAAATAATACAACAAGCTCCTGTAACCACATGTAGGCCTAGTCAGCTGCTCCTTTGAGGAGGAGGAGGAGGAGGAGGAGGAGGAAAGGATGCTGTGGCGAGGAGTGTTGGCCCAGGGGGTGAGGCAGCCTCCTTGACCCTGTCGCGGCCACCCGCTGCCCCTAAATGGCTCGCTCGGGGGCCCCGGCGGCAAAGGGGCAGCCCTGAGGAGCGGCCCTAGCAACAGGTACGACGGAGGAAGGGCACCAATTGTCGCAACCGCCTCAGATATCCAAGAGCAAAGAAATGGCCCTCGGAAAAATGGGCAAGCAAGCAAGCTCGCTCCTGCACTGGCTTGCCAACCTGCACTCCCCCTCTCCCGCTCCGGCTGCCCAGCACCGGGCACGCTCGGCCCAACTTGACGGGCGTCCAAGCTCGTCTCCCCGTGTCATTCTTACGTGAAAATGCTGCTGCTTGCAGTATGTTTAAGGCCCCCTCTGCTGGACAAACTGTTGATTCAGCTGTCAGCAGTTAAAGGAAACAGTTGAGTCAGAGTTCCCGGCACACTCCACAATGCAAAGAATGCTGTAGCTAAGCAAGAAGACAAAGGAAGCGGGGCGGGCCAATCCGCTCACAATGCCCTATTCTACCCAGTCGCCGGCATCGGTGTCTGATCCACAGAGCACACCCACAGCAAGACCTTTATGAAGCTCATCTAAATGAAACAATCCCTTTCTTTCGCCTTTGTTCTTCATTTCCCCCGCCCCGACTGGGCTGTCGCTGCAAGCCTGTTTTATCAGCCTACATAAAAGGTGTTGTCTGCTGGCTAATCCTTCTGCTTGTTCTCATGGCTATAAAAGTGCCGAATGCAAACAAAAGCAGAGGTCTTCGTACAGACAGGGCCTGGCCGCGGGACATCGGTAAGGCCCTGCAGCCGAGATGACGTATCGTTTTCGAAAAGACTCTCCGAAGTCGTTTCCTGCTCCCCCTGAAGGTCTTTGGGCGGGAAGGGATGAACTTCTGGAGAGCTCAGGAAGGACCTCCTTACTCAGTTCAAGTTGGTGATCTGAGTGCAGCTGGAGGATGGACTTGAGACACTCGGAAACTACAATTAGTTTATACCACAGTGACACAGCCACTAACTGGGACTGGCTAATGGGAATATGCTTCACTGGTTCTAAACAGGTTTACCTGGTGCCAGTCTGAATCTGAGCCCAAGTACCTGGCAGGATAATCTCCCACATGAATCCATCTGTATGCCAAGATCCAGGTTGAAGCTCTCCCTTCGCCAAGGAAGCTTATCAGGTGCCAACCCTCCCCACCCTCAAAGCCTTTCAAAACCTCTTAACTAAATTTTATCCTGCTGTGACTTCTTATTGCTTGCATAGTTTTACTGTTTTATTACTGCAATTTGATACTTCTAGTCGCCAATTCTTGTCTTCATTCTTTTGTGGGAATGGCAATTCTGCCAAAGGGCGAGAAACAAGTTTACAAACTCAACAAAGCAAACCCAAAAAATCAAAACACATTTCTAGAAATCAGTGTTTGAGTTCAGGCAAGCAGGTACAGCAGGAGAAAGGAACTCCGGCCCAGTCACGGAGGCCTTGGAGCCTCTGTTAGAACCCCAAGAATCTCTCACACAAGAGGCACAGGTTGGTAGGCTTATAGGAAGTGCTCTCCTGCAAATGGATCGCATCTTTGCATGACCTTGCATCGAGTATGCATGGTTGGCAGTTGCTTTCTTGCTTGTGTCACAAACCTACCTGTAATCACTTGCCTTTCCTGCTTCCAAAAGGATGATAGCCGCTTTCCCTGGATTCTGAGCCCCCAGAGGCCACTGGCTCGGTTGCCTTCTTGCATGGCTTCCCTGGAACCTACACATTTGGGCTGTACCTCTCCAGTGGAAAGCAACTATCAACTTTCTCTAGCCTCATGTCCCCCCAGAGTGTTAATTACAACTTTCAGTTTTCCTGACCTTTGCCATCCTGGATGGAGCAGATGAGGGGGATCTGAAGTCCAAAATATTTGTAGGGAAGCAGGTTGAGGAAGGCTGTCCTACATGCGTAAGGAATTTGTGTTGGAAGCTGCCCCAAGGCTTTTGTGAATGGGGCGGCATATAAGATTTCCAAATAAATAAATAAATAAGCAAGCAAGCAAGCTTTCCGTGCTAGCTTGGACCCTTTCCAGCCAGAGTTCCAGTGCATGTAGTGGTCCACACACAGAGATGTATTCACTGTTAGTCCAACTTAAATCCCACTCATTTCAATTTCAATGGGTCTCAGAGAAGTACTCTTCACCATGCCTAATGGGTATAGGGCTGAGGAACCACATGAAAGGGGCATTCCCACAGCCCCTTTCTGCACATGATGGCCCCACAAGATTCATCCATGAAGGTAGCCTCAGTTCCAAATTGTGTACTTTCTGCACTGGGAATGGAAACTGCTCATGTCTGAAGCTGCTCTGGAACATGGTCAGCTCACAACATCCAACAAGAAAGACAGGAGCGTTTGAAGGCTGTGAACATATGGATGAAAACAGAGGCCAGCTATCTTGGCAGTGAGGCAAGCAATTTTTAATAATAAAACCAGTTTTTAAAGAATGTGCAATGGCATACTATATGAATTAATGTGTAAATGTAATTCATGTTAATTGCAACTTGTTCCCTGCTTGCAAATACTGCTGTAATAAAGACCACTTTTCTTCAGCAATGTTTCATGTGGTAAAGTCTCCTTGCAGCATATATGTCTCCTTGTATGTCTCCAAATGTATGCATCCAAACTGAGGGTTTTTTTCCCTGCTGATGTTTCAGGCAGGAAAAAACTGCCAGTCACAAATGTTGACCTCATTGGTTGACATATTTCCACAACTTAGTATCAGCTTCTTATTGACACTTACCATGAGACCCAGAATATTCACGTGGGTTCTTTATTAGTATCTGAATGAATCTGGAGCTAAAATGGAATTCCAACTATTCTCAGTGTATAGCAATTTTAGATTTTCCTGATTCCCCATCAGGGAAATTTACAGTAAACAAGGACAAGGCAAAAAGGTTAACTTCTATATTCAAAAGAACACCAAAACAAGATGAAGAGAAAAACACTCCTCATTCCACATAGCTAATGCCTTCAAGGATTTAATTCTTCAGATTTTTCCTACATTCTTTGAACGTCATAGCAATAAAAACACAGAGTTTTTCTTTAGCTGCTCCAGAGATGTGATTAGCTGATACACAAAATGAAAACACCAAAAAGGGGTGGGGATGAGAAAGAGGATTTTATGTACCAGCATTTTTGTAAAATCGGGCAAGCCAGTGATCTTAAGTTTATTGTTTTTATACAGCATCATCATGGACAAGATGCTGTACAGTACAATCAGCAAAAAGACAAGTCCCTGCCTCAAGGAGGCTACAATCTACATTTTAACAGGAGGAAGAATGAGGCAAAAGTAACAGGAATATGCATGGATGTAGTTGCTTGTATTGTACCTCAGTTTCAATGAGGGGAGTTGGATTTGTGGTTTCAAAGCTTTCACAGGAGGCAAGGTCTGGAGGAGTGGCAAGGGAGGAGAATGCAGAAGACAGTAGAGGATAAGGGCATTTTATTAAGAATACCTTTCCTTTCCCCCTCCTCGTCTTCCCCAGCTCCTAAGGAGTTTCATAAATCTTTATTGAAAAGGTCTCCTACCTTCACACCACACCAGTACCAGGAAGTGTTACTTATTCATCAGGTCCAGGCTGCATGTTTTGAGGACACTAGCAAGGTACCAAGTGACATACCTGTCCATTCTGAATGCTGCTCGTTTGTCTACAGGGTCTTCTATAAAATATCTCCAAAGAAAGATCCATAACTTGCCTTTTGTTCTTCAACATCAGATTTCCCCAGCATGGCATCCTCAAGATATGCTGGACTTTCCCATGTTGGCTGTGAATTCTGGGAGCTGTAGTCCAGAGCATCCCGAGAGTGCTACGTTGAGAAAGGCTGACATACACATACTTTTGGGGCTCAGAAACTTCTTGTAAACAGAGTTAGACACATTTGATAATTATGGAAGCAACTAGATCATGTAGGAGATCCTTTTTAAATAAAAAATAGCCTAATGCAGCTTTTGATTGCAACCTTCCATCTAAACTGCCGCTGCACAGGCTGCATCATGTCCCCTGCCCCTTAATAAGCTAACTAATTTGTCAGATAGGCCAGTTCCATTTTAGAAGTAGCTCATCTTAAGGGACAGGGGGAAACGCTTCTCCAGAAACAAAGGAAATATACATCAGGCCATTTGTTAATCTCGGAACAGATATAAGGATTAATCTTTGTACACAATAATCCCTAAAGGGTAGCACCTGTTCAACAACTGGTGTAAAGAAAAAATGAAAGGAATTGAGAGACCCCATTTGCAGCAATGGAAAGAGGTGCCACTTTAGAATTTTTACTGAAAGACTCTCAGGCATCAACAGCTCTCCAGGCAAGAAGTGGGTCTACCGAAACATTTTTTTTCTCCTTTTTAGTTCTTATCTAATAAACTGTCCCAGTTTTTCCCCATCACAGCTGGGGCAGCCTACATTGCTGCTAAGCTAAGGAGAGAGATCAGGGTGACAGAGTGGGTGTACACAGCCTTGAAAAGGCCTGGTAGGGGGAACATGTGCATAAAGCATCTCTACTTCTCTGTAATGGGTTTCCATGGCTTTGAACAGCAGCATACAAATATGCAGGACGTGGCTGTTGGCTTGCAAATGGCCTAAACAAACAGCTGGGATAGGACTTCAGATAAATTGGGATAGAGCTCTTAAGGGTGCAATCCTATAATGTTTAGACAGAAAAAAGCCCTACCACTCACATCATTTTCCAGCCAGGCATGGTTAGACTTGTGGGACTTTCTCTGTCTAAACACGCAGAGGACTGCGCTCTCCATCATTCAAATTAGACCTGGATGATGCTACATGCAAATGATAAACCATCCCACTTCAAAGTGACCTTGTTTCCTCATCACCAATAGAAATAGAAGGCATTTTCTTTGCCCAAGTCTGTTCATGTAGAGCATGATTGTTAGCCAGTAAAGCATATAGACAAGCATGTTGGCCCAGCATAAAGTCCTGGGATAACATAAGTACAGGGGAGAAAGTGGATCATGAACAAACTTTCTTTTGGGATTTGTTAGTGTGCTTGTCCATTCGAAGAAAGTTTCTAAATTGCTTTGTTGTTCTTGTTGTTGAATGGATTACAACGATTCTATAGTATGCAAGGCGAGTCTCCAAACCATTGCAACCAGACTTATCGTGTGCAGTTTGTCTGAAGTTCTTTGCTCAGTATTTTTCTTTGAACAGTTGGACTGCTGAGCACGGTAATCTCAAAGCAACATACAAATATTCATCCTTGTGTACTTTGGTAGGAAATGCAGAGAAATCCCCACCACCAGCAGCTTGGATTCCCACAAAATACTGGTGACTCTTATATAATGGCAGAAGTGCACATTAGAAATTACTTGGTACAGGACACAGAGTGACAGTAGCTGCCTAACTTTTAACAAGTAAATTCACCTTAGATTTAGAATTCCACTGAAAAGTTTCTATTGGGTTTAAAAACTTTGATGTAAGTGGTGTGTCAGTAGAGCAAATGATCTTGACCTTCCTTGCAGCTCCAGAATGAGGAGAGAGGCCTAATTTGTACATGTGTGGTCAACCCCAAGCTACAAAGAATAGCTGTGGCTCTTTTTCTTTTAAAGGAGAAGACCACATCGTGCTCATACCGATGAACTTGGAACAGCTGGCATGCAAAAGGGATAGCATTAATGCCAGTTGAACCGCTGAATATAGTGAGGGCCACCAGCTTGGACGGATTCAAGAGGATTAGACTCATTCAGGAAGGAAAGGGCTGTCCGTGGCTACCAATTGCGAAGCACACTGCCTCTGTGTCTACTCTGCAGTATGCTTCTATAGACCACAGCTGGGAAACACACATGGGACATGCTTATGTCCTGCTTGCAGGCTTCGAAAGGCTGTCGTGGGAAGAAAGTGATAGATGTAGCATGCCTGGATCCAGCGTTATTCCTAGAAGCAAGTGCAAGCGGGACGAAAACTGACAGAAGCTAGCAGGGAAACACTTTGTTGTTTTCAGCTGGGCAACTTCTTCCTTAGCAAACTGGGAAGAAATTAGGCAGCTGAACAAACTTCCGACTCTCGGTGCCTGTTCTGACTGCTATTCTTTCCCCAATAACTGCTTTCAAGGTTGTTGAATAGACAGCCAGCATGCTGCTTCAGAGCCTTCGGGTACCTTGCATACCAAAAAAGTATCCAACAACTTTGGCCTGCACTAAGAACCAAACAGTGGGCAGCAACTGGTGCTGCAATGAAAGATGTGAACTCTGGCCCAGTGCCAAATCTGGAAAACAAGACAGGTGTAGAGGAAATAGCTGCACTTCTGTAGAATGCTTTCTATCTTAACAATTCCCCCTTGGGCGCACACATAGGGAAAACAAGGCCATTTGCCCTTCACATTTTGTTATTTACTTTGTGGGGGAGCTTGTAATTGACTGTCTCGGGCTACGTGCAGGAGGCAGGCCATTCCAGCTGACTTACTGTACTGCTGCAGTTGCCTGGCACTAGCAGCTGGGATACTGGCTGTCCCTCCCTCCCACCCCAGAAGCAGCGACTGAGCGGAGCCGAAGCCAGTTCCTGTGGTTGCTGAGGAAAAGCACAACTGGGATTCCAGTTGCTCTTTCTGGCCAGCTGAAGCAGCACTGGAAGCAGAACTGTCAGACATCTGTCTCTCTTCCTCAGTGAGCAACCTACACAGCAGCCATGTCTGCTACCACCAGTGGAAAGGAACAGCATCTCACACCATGCTAAGAAGGGGAAGGAGCTAAACAGATTCACCCCTAAAACCTCTGCCTGGTCATTTTCCTATCACAATCCATTCATCTTTCCTGCCTCGAGTTTCAAAGGAACTTTCAATAGTTCCTATGAAAAATACTCCACATCCCATAAGCTGAATGAAAAGTACAGATCTGATGGCACTCAGGAACAAGGTGTGTCTCTGAAATAAAGATTGATTCTGTTAAAAAAAAAAAAAGTTGCCCTTTTAAAAAGGGACTGAACAAGTTATCTGTGCTTCAATCAGGGTGGTGGTTGTGTACAGTTGAGACATGTTTTGTTAAGTCTGCACATGGAGGAGGACTGCAGTCCGAATCACAAGTCTCTTGCCTTGCAATTAATCGTTCATAAATGTAACACACCAATTCATACAATGCTGTTGCAAGCAAATTCTATCAAGACCGTAATGAGATTATGAGTTTTGCAATAGGGAAAAGTCTCAAATCGTAACCTGCAAATGCTGGCATTCCAATCAGCTAGCACACAAGCAGGAGCAAGAGGAATGAAGCCTAGTCTCCTACTCTCTTTTCTCAAATAATGGATTGGTGCAATTTTCCGGACATGGCCATGTAAGTTCAGCACCTGCAACTGAGTTGAGGGAGACCCATGATCCACAGCCTCTATCTGTGCTAGGGACATGTGGGAGCTTATGTTCAAGTTACACTGTAAGAGTCACTGAGTATCTGCTAACTTCATAATTTAAATTCCAAACCATGTTATATTGTTTTGCATTGAAGAAGCTTATTACTTTTTGATCAGCAAGATTTTCAAGAGTATCAGCTGCTTATATTGCCACTTGCCTCAGCCGGAGCACTTCAACAATGGTGGCAGCATCTCCTGTAACTGGCTATGTTGGCTGGGGAATATGGGAGATGCAGTCCAAGAGATCTCAAGCACCCGGCTGGAGAAGGCTGCAATACTGGCATTTGTGCTGCTGGTCTCGTCTCCTCCCCTCCCCATCATGGATCCATGAAGCAACACCTTTAATTCTAGGACTTGAACTTATGCAAGGGTATGTTTAATAACCAAACTGCATAGAACAGCTTTACACTTTCAGGAAGATGACAAACTGTCAATACCACTCATTATTTAATGTCACAGAATAGTCCTGAATAGTTTAGCCACAGTTTGCATAACTGAAAGTCTGACATAATCCACAACTAAAGTGAACATTCAGTGAAAGGCTTGTACAATTTAATTGTCACATAATGGCCAGTCATTTGTAAAGGGATCTGGGAAACCGTGACACTGATCAGATGCATTGGGCAGGCACATGAATGGCCACTGCTGGATGCAGCTGGAACGGAAAAGTTCTACCACAGTTCTGCAACTCCTGCATTAATTTTGTCAGTTAAAAGTGTACTGTGAGAATTAAATACTCATTTTTACATATACACAAGTTATGCCATGAAAGCATATTTGCTTACAAACATATAAAAATACTTGTTAACTAGTTTGATAAGAAAATAATGTATAAAAGTATATAGCAAAAAACATTTAATCATCTGACAATGAAAAGAGCAAATTCATCTTTTTATATTACACGAAAAACAAAATAAGCTACAGGTTTAGTTTTCTTGAATCCCTTACCTGGAGATAAAAAAAGGAAGACACTGTTTATTATTCCAAACCATGATGTAAAATCTTCTAAAACTGAAATGCTCAAGTCCAAAAATGAGCCCAGATATTTGGCCACTTAGTCTAATAGTAATAATCCTGTAGCTATTACTGGAGCCATTAAATAAATACAGTAGACTGCTGACCACTGAAAAAAGCTGCAGCATAAAGGAGAGCTGAGACACAAAACTACTCACAATGAAATTCAGTGTATTGGCTTCCTGTAAGGCAAGCTGAATTCTGAAGTCTAAATTAATCAAAGGGTAAAACCTCCAAATCCACTTTTTTAAAAAAATACTCTACATTGTGATTAGAGGACTCCCTCTTGAGTGTGATTAACAAAGACGTCACAAGTGTGTGTGGTGTGTGGGGAGAGGCAGAACACCCATACAGCAACTTTAAAGCTTGACTTCAATACCTTGTCTAGGATTGTTTTGTCTCTATTGTGAATAAAACTCCACAAGGTGCAAGCTTCTTTATGAAACAGAAGAAGGAAACTGGGAATATTAAAAGAAGCCTCAGTGTATTGACATCTGCCCCAAGAGGACTAAGATGTCTTCTAGGACTGGGTCAGTCTGGTTCTCTTAGCCTAAGGCTACTTTGGTGACCATTTATACAACACGCACATATAAGGCTAGACAAAACACTGAGACACATAGAAAGGTAGGTGAATAGAATTAATCTGGCAGTTGATAGCTTGGATCCAAGGATTCTTAGACGATGATACAGTGACACCCTTTCTTGTCCTTTTCCTTCCTTGTTGGCTCTGGAGAAGGTGGGCATTCTTGTTCTTGAAACTTCCTATGGAAGAACAAAACTGCAGATTAAGTTTGGGCTTCAGTCCAATAGTCTTTACTACTCACTTTCAGTTGGGCATCAATTCTTTTGCGTGAAGTCTAGGATGGTTACAATTGACTAGGGTTTGGTAATATGTGGCCCTCCAAGATGTGCTGGTCTGCATCTCCCACTTATGCAGGTCAGGGCTGAGGGGAACTGTAGTCCAGGAGCATCAGAAGAGCTGTAAGTTGCCCATTCCTGCAAAAGACTATTGTGGTACTCAAGACAGAAGCAAATATTCTAGTGCCAATGAGTTTCAGCTAAAACGACGTTTCTAAAGGTTAGATTTTTCTGAAAAATTTGTTGCTGGCAGGACTTGGAATGCTGCATTCTAGCTTCCTTCCTCACACAGCATAAAGGCTGAGTTCACACAAAATGAAAACCAATACTCAAGTTTGAGTATGGCTTGAATGTGGGTGGTCATTGAACTAGGGGTTGTTGTACTGTGGGAACCCAGCTGTACTGATAAACCATGGTTTGTTGACTGCAAACAAGTCATGAAGATGATCTATGGTTTGTGTCTGTGTTGTGAACTAAGGGTTATTCATGGTTAACAGACCATGGTTTCTTAGCACAGCTGCATTCATATAGCGTAACAGTCCACAGTTCAATAGCAACCCACAGTTCAACCTTGAGGGAGGGTTATTGTGTTATCTGAACCCAGTCAGTGGATGTTGTTTGCACATCATGTTAACTACTCTGCAAATAAGCCATGGTGGGCTTTCCAAACAATTCACAGATTATTGAGCTTGCTGTGGTTGTTCTTTTCCTTCTAGTCAGCTCCAGCACATATCCTAGGAGCCTTGTAGCAGGACCCACCTTGTCTCTTTGTCCTGCTCCCTCCCCGCTCTGACTGCTACCCGTTTGTGTTCCCAAGGATTTTTTTTTTAACTTTGAGAGTCTTAAAAATGTGCAGTCAGGGTCACTATTTATCACTAACATTACTGTAGATGTTGTCGGTTTTTTGTCAAGTGCTCTCTTACAGAGCTTCCATATGTGGAGTCTCCTAGACAATCTCTTTGTATGTTGTATCTATCAGAGGGAGCAGGACCAAAGCACCTGACAAGATGAATTTGCTTCTGGGTTGCAGAATTCTGAAGGAAGTGGGAGAAATAATGAACCAATCATGAATAGCTCTGCTATTTGTGAGCTTCTGTAATAAGTCTCTGGTTGCAGAAGCCAAGGAATTTTATACTTTGGAAGAATATTTAGGCACTTGCCATTTAAACATAGCAAGGAATAAACTCCACAAATCATGGAACAGTAAGATAAATGTATACTGTGTGTTTTTAAAAAAACATTTTAATATGTTTACACTATAATGCTTACCTTATAACTCTGACAAGTTCATGAAAAGCTTGGTCTACATTCAGTCGTATTTTTGCTGATGCTTCCATATAAGTTACCTTCAGCTGCCTTGCTAGTTGCTGACCTTCCTCTTGTGTTACCTTCAATAAAGGGTAGTAGATAAAATAGATATTTGGCAATCTACTGATGTGTCCTGATTGGCAGAGCTACTTTGTGTGTGCTCTGTCATCAGCTACATTTCTTGCACATTGTTGCAGTGTAATGTGATAGACCGAATTCTCGATCTGTCATGGACTTCATCAACACAATTCTTTAAATAGTTTTTTTTTTAAAGTTGAGCCAAATACCTTAAAAGCTTAATGAACTGAAGATACTGACCAGTATCTAGTATGCTTCTGTGCAAAATTAGAATTAAAATTAGAGTATGGATTTGTTACAGAAGTGCCTCATGCCTCACTGATAGGAAAGAATGCTAAGCACATGGCAAGTGCCCTGTTGTGTCAGATCAATGGCCCAACCAGGTTCTTCACTGCGGTCAAACCACTGCTTCTGTTAAGTCCACAAACCGGGCAGGAAGATAACAGGTTTCTCATTATTAAATTAAATGTTAATCCATTCAATAGCAGTCATTCCCTAGCAGATTGCAAGCATTTGTTCTTTTTCCTAGCAGCTTGTATTTAGGGACATATTAGGTCTGAACCTAAAGATTACATTGCTGCAACTCCAATACAATGACAAACTTCTGAAATCAAATTACAAGCAGGCCCTGAGTTACAAACAACCTGTACATACAAATGGCCATAAATCCTGTTTTTTTTTTTTAGAAACTACCTCAGAAAATCATCATCATCATCATAGAGAGGGAGGGCCTCCAAAGCATCAACATAGAGAGAGGAAGCAAAAAAGGGGAGAGGAAGGCCTCTGAAGCATATCTTCCTGCCCGGCCCACCTGGAGAGGGAAATTTCTCTGGCATTTCCTTCCTGCTGAGAGAAGGAACTGGTGAATTTGGGGAGGGAAGTTGGAGATATCTGTGGTTTTTCCACTTTCATGGGGGTTCTGCACCTCTAACCTGACCTACATAGAAATTCAACTTTAAGACAAAATTTCGTTTCCTCAAGAATGGACTCGTTCATAACCCAGGGAATGCCTATACTTGAAACCACATGAATTTGTCCATAAGTTACACAAATGCCACAGCACAAAATGTGTCAGCAAAGTTTGAGCAAGCACAGGGTTGGGCAACTTGGTACGGCCATATGCTTTAGCTAACACAACCAGTGGTGAAAGCTGGTGGGAACCTTAGCTCTCCAGATGTTCTGGTCAGCAAGTTGCCCACCCCGATCCACCTTAGCAGAGCTAAGCATAGTACAGACATTGTTTCAAGTGTTGCCATACGTGGATTTTGAAAGAGTCTTACAATTTACTCCCTTGTAAAGTACTTTAGAGCTGGAAATAGACTTAGTATTTGAATTCTGTTTACAAAATCCAAACAGATAATTGATACTGGGGAATCTACATTTGGCCTTTTACCAGCACTGCAATGCCTGACTCACTGGTATGCTGCCTGACGCTCACCCCAATCCATCCTTCTTGCATTATTTCTGCCATTATATCCTGGAGTTCTTCAGACCAGTTATATCATGATTATTTTATACGTTGTGGCTTTTCCTTGGCACATACTTATGTGCGCCAAGGAACCTATATACACATGTGCACACATGTTAAACTTGAGGTGCAAACCTAAGTCCCCAAGGAGTGATTCCAGGGGTCTGGGCAGTGAGAGGAAAAGGAAGTGTCCTACTGGGGCTTGAGTAAAATAGCACTTACTCCAGAGATCCTACAGTTGCTTCCCTCCTTTTCTTCCCTCCCCTTTCCTTTGAAAAAATCAAGTCTGCAATGTCTTTTCAAGATTTCCAAATTATCTACTTTGTCCTCTTGCTCGAAGCAACTAGCTGCAATGTATGTCTGCTCAGAAGTAAATCACATACTCATCAATGGCCTTACTCACAAGTAAATCATACTGCCTTCAATACGGTAGAACGGTACGATAGAACTATAGAAGTAACAGGAACTAACAGGAACTAACAAGAACTATAGAGATAACAGGGATATAAAACTGGGAGCTTAATAAGAACAAGAAATAGGCTACGAGTAACGGTCAGAGCGATAGTCGAAAGCGGCACAAGGCACAGCGAACGGCGGTCGCAGACTGAACAAAATGGCGGACGCTCCGCTCTTTATAGGCTGTGGGGGAGGGGGAGCAGAGCTTTCCCACCAAAAGAAACCGTTAGCTGTTAATCTTCCGGCCAAAGGCACTGCCCAGGTGCAGCACCCCATATGTGTGATGCACAGAGGCCACGACAAAGAAAGTCTCTGCACCTTTGCTACAGCTTCTAGTTTGTGGACTATTAAAAAAATCCTTTCCCTGAACATGTTCCCTTTCCAACTCTCCTACTTCCCCACAAGTGCATTTATACATGATTCACATTTTCAGTGGTAATGTCTTCATTAATGTGTGCCCCAGGTGTGATATGTGAGTTTTGCATATATAACAAAATTATACTTCCACATAAATGGAAAGGGCTCTGAGGTGGAGCTTCCCACATACTTGTTCATACACGCATTCGAGTAGGTTTCTACCCTAATTTCTCCTCCAAAGGGATTAACTGCTTCTATTAACAGGGTATGGTCTTCTGGTACTGTCCAACATCATGAGTAATTGCTGTACAGGAAGTATTGTAAACCTAACTGGAAAGGGATTCATGCCTTTATAATGATGTCATGGATTAGTGCCTCATCTTCATAGATGTTGACTTGAATCACATTCATATGGCATTACTCAGAGAAGTTGTTTTAATGTAGAAAAGCTTCTATAAGTAAAATTTTCTATCCCACACGCTTATGATTTTAATCCACTACTTCTTTTGAGTTCAAGATGCATTCCTCATAGCAACCATTCTTGTAAGTCTGGGCTTGATCTTCTTTATGGCATCTTGATGACAAAGGTCACCTCCCAATGGAATGTGTTCCTCACCTGAAGGCCCCATCCATAAGAGAATAATGACCTTTTATTTAAAGGGGTATACCACAGCAATGTACTGCCCAAGATTTAACAAGCCAGGGCTAATCTATTTGATTATGGCAGATGCTGCCATGGCTAACTTCCACTTAGGCCATACTAAGCTGCTTAAAGTAGTCAGTCGAGGAAGCTGCCCTTTAAGAAGTCAACAGCACAGGCCTACCTTGCTCAGGGTTGCCCACACTGTCCGACAGCAGCAGTTTCAAAAAGGGACTTATCTTTCCAGCCCTACCTGAAGATGTTAGGATTTACCCCTGGTGCCTTTTGCATGGAAAGCCTGTGCTCCATCACTGAACTATGCCCTAACCCATAAGAAAGGGTTACCCAGGTCTTTTCAGAATGTAGCTCTTGCCAGATAACTTACCTGTCTTTGATGGTCCAAGTCTGCTTTATTACCAACTAGAATCATAGGAAATTCATCACGATCTTTTACTCTAAGAATTTGCCTTTGAAACTTATAGATCTCTTCAAAGCTGCAAGAACAAAGAAAGATAAATGTTGGAATAATAAATGCGTGCTATGAGTCCACAACTTCAGAGAACAGCTTGCTGAAGGCTCTGCAGGAAGGTTGTCTGCCTTGTGGCATGGTTTTGAAGGAACACAAGTCCACAGTCCTCTTGGGTAAACAGAACTTACACTACTTATTCTAGTTATTGTGCTAAGTAAGTACATTCTATGGCACTGATACATGTTTCAGAGGATATTGTTTCTCCCTTACCTTCCTCTATCTGTGACTGAGAAGACGAGCAGAAAGCCTTCTCCTGTCCTCATGTACTGCTCCCGCATAGCTCCAAATTCTTCTTGACCTGCTGTATCTAGAACTGGAGTCAAGAGGCTAGTTAATTTCACTTCTCTTCTACTTCTCTTGAACTATGTTAATCAAAGCTACATGGTCTCCTAATGCCACAGGCTACTTCACAACATGTTCCAAATGTAAGTTGTGGTTGAAAATGTTTTTTTAAAATTTGGCTTACTTCAGGAGCAAGTTTCTGATATAGTCATGTTGTCACCAATTGTGCCATGGGGCATGTTAGATGCATGACCATCTGTTAAACATGTGTGATCATTTGGGTATAAAGCAGGGGTGAGGCTTGGTTTACTATTTAAGATTAATCAGAGCACATAAGAAATGGTAGTGGCACTTGCTTCTCCCGACTCGCCAATGCGTTTCACTGATTTAAGGTGCTTTCTCCAGACCAACTTCAAAAATGAAAATGAGCCAGGGAGGTGGACGGCTCTAAAAGCCAAGTGTAGGAAAGTCAAGTGGATCAGGGGACAGGCATCACACCTATCTGCTGCATGCTCTCTTTAATCTTAAATGAATACTTTACTAGGTAAACTGGAAAATAAATAGTACACACATATATACATATCTTTATTTTTTCTCTCAGGCTGTGTGAAGATATAGAAGCCTCTACTACCAAAGATAAGGAGGCATCGCATGATATGTTTATGAATTTATAATATATTATAATAGTTAAGGAAACTGAAGTCAGCAGCAGTATGAACGAGAGTGCAAACACACAGAGAAGGATCCTACAATGTCCATGTGATGCAATGACTGATGTGCTAGCCCAAAGCAAAGTGCAATGTTTATAGCACCTGTCTGAATGACAGGCTTCCATGGAATTCTGTCACACTAGCAAGCAACACTGCACAAACATTTGCTTATGCCAGAGTGATATCAATTGCAACAGTGCACAGGCATCCCTGGATCCCTTCCCACATTCTGCAACCAATACAAATTCTTTAGTGAGCCAAAAAGAAAGAGAAAACTTACTATCCAGTCTGGCTGCTCTTTCATCAATCACACATTGTTTTGTATAAGAATCTTCAATTGTTGGATCATAATCTGTAACAAAGTAGGACTGCAGGAAGGGGAGGGGAGGGGAGGGGAGGGGAGGAGAGGAGTTTAATCCCAAAGTTTGTCTGTTTGTTTGGAATTTTTGTATGCTGTCCCATTCGCATAAGCCTCGGGACAGCTTCCAACATAATAAATAAACACTCATATAAATAGATAAATATAAAATCTGGATTCACCCTTGCTAAAAAATTTTCTAGGCCACAGTTTCATTAAATCACTCTTCCTCATCAACAGTGTCAGTCTGCAGGTGAATGAATACCATCTTCATTTGTGCAAGCACTATGGTTGGGTGGCTAGTTATATTTCAGCAGGAAAACATTTGGTAATTGCAAACATTCATGAACGTCTGTTCTCTGGGCTGTGCCACCACTTTTATTGGCAATGCAAAGCCTTGAGCAATTCAGAATTTGGCAATCTACTTCCTGGTGATCTAGGTGCACATTCTTAGTTGGATAATTCACATTACACTGTTAAACACAATAGAACCCTGTGACTAGATTATAACTAGATTATGTCTAATACTTCCCTTCAATGATCAGTAAAACAGTGTTTTTGCAGTACACCACTTGTTCAGATAAATTCATCTGAAGCTAAATATCACTGAAGTGTTTCTTTTAAATGTTGCTATATAGTAAGAAGCCACCATACCCTTTACACCTAATAGCAGGAGGCACCATTTTATATGGAAGATTTGGAAGGGTGGGAGAATCACATTCAGCAAAAACCAGTTTGCAGCTCCATCCCAGGTTTATGCTCACGTGGAAAAGGAAAGCCTTTGTTGAAATTGAGTCCTGTTTCTGTTTTACTTGTTTGTTTTACATTTAATTGGGAAATAAGAGAAAGAACCATTGAAGAATTTATAAACCTGCTTGTCCAAACAACAGATTACCACATATTTTTGTTCCAATGAGGTTAATGCTAATTAGGCACTACAGAAAGCAAGTGAGCCACACCTTTTTCAGAATTCAGGTTAGACTCTCTTTTGAGATGGCTAGTTTTACTACAAAATAAAGCCAGTGATGTGAGATGAATTGTATTGTTTTTCATTTTCATAACAGAATGAATGACTACAATATATGTCAAGGTGAACAACTAGAACAAATACAGAACCAGTTGAATGCATAATCAAAGCTGTGTTTCTTTCCACATGAATACCCTCAGAAAAACTTATACAGGGGCACACAGCCACATTATCTTATTAGTTATCAGGACTTTTGTTGATTTTTTCTTTAAAATATAAATAATGTAAAGGAAGTGCATGATATTCAGTTGACATGCCTTAATAAATACAAGTATTCCAATAAAACTAAAAGTCCAAGTAAAGCTTTGCATTTGTTTGAACGTAACATTTATACACCCTAAGTGCACCTTACTGCCTTTCCCACTCACCCCAATATTTCTGCTCAAATACTTTTGACTATTAGACAAACTTCATCTATTTATAAAGCATGTTAAATTAACACAGCATACATTTAGTAAGGAGTCAAGTAAACACACTAAATTAGCTCTTCATCAATTTAGGCCAGCAAACACTTTTCCAGTTCAAAGTTTTCCAGAGAATCCACATGAGTAAGTGAAGCACTACATTCCAAGAGAAAGAGCTCAGAGTCCCTTTTCCTGCCTCCATCCATTCTCCATCTGTGTATATGACAGTGAAATCTAGCAAGAAACTGAAATGCCTCCCTTCTAGCTGCTAGGACTTGGTATGAGCCCTAGAGAGGGAAAATAATTTCCTCTTTCCATCCCTAATTCAAGTAATTATGACATTACACATGCTGCCATTGCTTTTGAGCTCAGATGTGAAAGAGTCTACAGCCAACACAACCCCTGTGCATAAGCACTACAACTCTTACTTACCTCTGAAGCAACAAAGCAAGGAAAAGCAGCTTGCTTACCTGTAACTGATGTTCTTCGAGTGGCCATCTGTGCATCACACATATGGGTGCTGCGCCTGCACAGTGCCCAGGCCGGAAGATTAGAAAGCTAACGGTTTTTGGCAGGAAAAAGCTCCGCTCCCCTCCCCTCCCCCACATAGTTTAAATAGAGTGGAGCGTCCGCCATTTTATTCAGTCTTGAAGACCGACATTCGCCCCCTTGCAGTTAAAGACGGTATTACAATAAGCATCATCGGTGCCGTAAGATCAGTGCGGAACCGACGAAAAAACAATTCCACTTACCGACACCATGCGGGGCCGGCGGGTGGGTTGTGTGAATGCACAGATGGCCACTCGAAGAACATCAGTTACAGGTAAGCAACCTGCTTTTCTTCGTCGTGGCATCTGTGCATCGCACATATGGGTAATTAGCAAGCTTACCAGACTCGGAGGAGGGAGGTGTCATCACTGAAGAATGGCGGAGAGAACTGCTCTGCCAAAGGAACAATCCTGTCCTGCACGTACATCAAGCTGGTAATGCTTGGCGAAAGTACATGGAGCAGCCCAGGTTGTGGCTCTGCAAATATCCTGGATCGGAACACCTGCCGCAAAAGCCGACGAAGTCGCTACTGCTCGCATAGAATGGCCTCTTGGAAGCGTAGGTAAGTCCATCTTTGCTAGTTGATATGTCAGAACTATGGTCTGAACAATCTATTTAGACAGTCTTTGAGATGTGACTGGAGAGCCCTTGTCATGATCAGTGTATTTAATGAAGAGTCTATTAGAATTCCTGAAGGATTCTGTGCGAGACCTGTAGAAAGCTAGGCAGCGTTGAACGTTGAGAGTGTGGAGAGATCGTTCAATCAGAGTCGATGGGGATGGAAAGAACGCAGGCAAGACAATGACCTGATTCAAATGAAACTATGTAGCCACTTTAGGAAGAATCGTTGAATCCATTCGAAGGACAACCTTTTCCTTATAAAAATTCAAAAATGGTGGATCTAAGCGAAGAGCACAAAGCTCACTAGCCCTTCTGGCTGAAGTGACCGCAACAAGAAAAGCAGTCTTCCACGATACTAAGCGTAGATCCACAGTCGCCAAAGGTACAAATGGGGGCTTTGTAAGCACTTGGGAGTACAAAAGAAAGACTCCAAGTTGGCATAACAGGACGAACTGATGGGTGAAGGTTCTGTAGTCCTTTTAGAAAATGGCGAATCAGAGGTTGAGAAAAAATGATGAGCCCTGTATGTTGCCACGGTAATGTGAAATGGCAGTGGCGTAAACTTTTATAGATGACAGTTTAAGTCCCGGTGTAGTTCAAATAGAAATTGTAAAATGTTCTCAATAGAGGCTGATCCCAGAGAAAAAGAATGGCAGTCGGCAAAGGATGAGAATCTTCTCCATTTCGCCGTGTAAGATCGACACGTAGACGGCCTTAGTGCAGAACTGAGAATCGCTTGGATATCAGGATGTAAGACTGTCAGTCCCCAAGCGATTCCTGACGGTCCCGAGGGGAGATTTGGTTGCATAGTCCCTTGAACTGAGTGTTCCGTTTGTCGAGATGCCATCGGGATCAATGGAGCAGCTAAGTCCAGCGGATGTTCCACGCTGTCAACTTCAGAGAAGTCAGATCCGGGTGTCGGATCACTCTGTTGTGCTGTGTTAACAAATGAGGAATCGCTGGAAGCCGACGAAGTACACCTTTAGACCAGATGAGGAGAGTGATGAACCAAGGTTGTCTCGGCCACCACGGGGTTATTAATATTCCTGTAACGTTGTCTTGAACAATCTTTGATACAAGCCTCATCAAAAGGGGGATTGGGGGAAACACATAAAAAGTCAAATTGTTCCAAGTGATCATGAAGGCATCTCCCCTCGAGTCCTGTCTGATACCTCCTGTGGAACAGAACAGTTCGCATACCCTGTTCTCTCGGGTAGTGAACAAGTCTATGTCCGGGTATCCCCACAGAGGGAACAGTTCGTCGCAAATCAGCCGATCCAACTCCCACTCGTGGGTCATTGACATCTGCCTGCTCAGTGCATCTGCTTCCACGTTGTTGGTCCCTGCAAGGTGGACCGCCAGTAGTATTATGTCCCTTGGGATACACCAATCCCAAATTTGCATCGATAATCGAGCCAAGACGGGTGACTTTGTCCCGCCCTGCTTGTTGATGTAAAAAACAGCAGCGATGTTGTCAGACGCAATCTGGACAACTTGGCGGTGTAGGACGGTCTTGAAGGATTTGAGAGCATTGAAAACCGCCAGAAGCTCGAGGAAGTTGATGTGATTCCTCGCTTCTTGTCGGTTCCAAGTCCCTTGGACCCAAAGTCCTGCACAGCGCCTCCCTCGGGATCGATGCTGAGTGACGGTCCCGTGGATAATAAGCGTAGGATTGGTATCCACTCCAGCCAGGGAAGCCACCATAACCAGGCATAGGCCAGTCATCCAACTGGCGGTCAACTGAATGGCTTCTGTACCTAGATGGCGATACAGGTTCTGCAGGTGGTAGGCATCGGGGTTGGAGAGCATTCCCTTGGTGGGGAGTCTCTGATCTCTCCATCTGAGATCGATTCCCCAAGCGGCGGCTCCAGTTGTGGAGGAGACACGCTCTCAGGCTGGACAATTTGCCTGGGGGATCCCGGCGGAGTCACCTGCATCGCCGATTGTAGGGCCAGTCCCGAGGGAGTCGGTACCCTGGCGGCAGTCAGTACCGAGAACCCTGACGAACCCGAGCCCCGATGTTTGGGGCGATCAAGCTTCTTGCCCTTATGGGCCGCTTTGGCCGCTTTATCTTTCCTTGGTTTTTTTGTGCCCGGAGGATTTATCAGATTCTGAATGTTAACGCTTCTCCTTTTGCTTAGTCGGGGGAGAAAGTAGCTGTTGCGCTTCCATTGAGGCAGCGCCTTTGTCCGAAGGACACTGCGGAGGTGCAGCCGATGTTGAAGCAGGGCGCTTGGAGGGCACGGCCGAGGCAGAGGCAGAACGCTGAAAAGGCACAGTCGAGGAAGAGGTAGGCCTTGAGACCAATTGGTCTGATTGTAGCAAGGCCTGGTCCCAGAGTAACTTGCAGAGATGATTCTCCCTATTCTTCCTGGCCTATTTGGTAAAGGCCAAGCAATGCCCACACTT